ACACACACACACACACACACACACACATACACACACTCACACACTCACATGCACACACATACACACATACACACACATACACACACACATACACACACACATACATACACATGCACACTCACACACACACACACGCAGCTTGGTGCCCCCCTCCTGGCTCCCGAGGCATCAACAACACAGCTGACTACCAGTCTGAGCAACATGGCCACAGGCAGCCATGAGCCTGCTGTCGCCTTGTCCCGGGCAAAGCTGAGATGGGCCCTTTAATGAGCAACTGCCCCCTGATGTCCAAGAGGAGTTCCTACGTGACACAGCCCTGATCTGGAGCCTGTGGGAGTTCTTATCATCAAAAGGCCTCCGTAAGGCAAGAGATCCATCCTAGGGAACTAAAGCCCCTTTCAAGTGCTTGTCCACACGCTATAAATATTTAGTGCAACTCAAACCTTCAAAAAGGAACGGCCCACAGGCACAGCCTTCTGCGCGTGCTGGAATAGAGGAGAGCGCTGAGGCAGAGCCTCTGGTAATAGCAGAAAGGAAAGAGAAAAGGAGCCTTCAGAACCGTGGGTGACTCACGCATGCTAAGCTTCCCTGACGCAGACGCCAGCAGGACGCCGCGGCCCCAGTGGCCCCCGAAGACGAAGAGAAAAGCAGCACTGACCAGCTGACACCCAGGCACCTGGGCCGCAGGAGGAATGAATCAGGCACCAGAATCGCATGCTACCCAGCTTGAGGCCTTCAGAGACATTCATGTTGTCTGTGCTGATTCATCCTGTGACGTCAGGAAAGACGCAACTAGGAACGGCGGGAAGCCAGGCACAAGCTGAACCTCTTTTTAGAAGGTTTTTAAAATTGATTTTAAGAGAGAAAGGGAGAGAGATGAAGAGAGAGAGAGATACATCGATGTGAGAGCAAACCATCAGTCGGCTGCCTCCTACACACCCCCTACTGGGGACTGAACCTGCAACCTGGGCATGTGCCCTGACCGGGAATCGAACCGTCCCCTTTCGGTGCACGGGACAACACCCAACCAACTGAGCCACACCAGCCAGGGAGACCCTTGGCTTTTAAAGTCCCGTTTTTCATTTCTGCACGTATGACAATGGGCCATTGGGGTACCTGGGCAACGTGGTCATCCTAAACGTTCAAGGTTAAGGTTCTGTGCTCAACACACTCTCATCTTTCAAAAATAATACAAAATTATGTTTATCCCCCATCTGCCAGGAAGAGGAATTCAAGAAAACACGTCACCGATTAGAAAACTGGAGAAGTTCCTCAGAAGGAAGGTGGGATGAATGAAGTTAACGCTCAGGCACCCCAGTCTCCCCGAGCAGTGACCGCCACAGAGAACAAAGCATATGCCCCTGATGGTTTCCGGTCCCTTGCTTCCTTTAGGGCAGTGGTTCTCAACCTTCCTAATGCCGCGACCCTTTAATACAGTTCCTCATGTTGTGGTGACCCCCAACCATAAAATTATTTTCGTTGCTACTTCATAACTGTAATTTTGCTACTGTTATGAATCGTCATGTAAATATCTGATATGCAGGATGTATTTTCATTGTTCGCGACCCACAGGTTGAGAACTGCTGCTTTAGGGGCACTTCAGGGAAGGGGTGCTGCCAGGCTCTGAAGGCCTCTTATTGTCTAATGGCCGTCATCGGTTAACTCATGTCCTGGGAAGACTCGATCTAAGAGATGCTGTGAAATCTCTCTCTCCTTTCGCAGGCATCAAGGCCATGCCCGTGACTGGGAGTTCTCCATCTTCATCCCTGCCCGATCTTCTCCTCAACTCTGACCTTATACCCCAGAACCCCGGGAAAACATCACCAGGTGAACACCCTTCTACTTGACAAGTCAGAATGAACCGTATATGCCCCTAAACCTGTCTATTCCAACAGTGAGGAGTGAAGTGAATATTGTTGTTATCCACTCCGGCATCCAGGCTGGAAGTCTGAAATCTCCCACGTCCATCCCTTTTCTCTTCCATCCATCACCAAACGTGGAGATGGTGCTTCCCAAGGCCGGAGCTGACCCTGTAATCACGCCCCCTGCCATGATGGTGCTTTCAGCACTTCTCACATCACCACCACCTCCCACCATCACGCTAGCCTTGACTTCGCCACCCGCCTCCAAACAATCCTATAAGATAAAAGGCTAATATGCAAATTGACCAAGCAGCAGAACAACCAGTCGCTATGATGCACACTGACTACCAGGGGGCAGGTGCTCAATGCAGGAGCTGCCCCCCGATGGTCAGTGTGCTCCTACAGGGGGAGTGTCCCTCAGCCAGAAGCTGGGCTCACGGCTGGCAAGCGTAGCGGTGATGGCAGGAGCCTCTGCCACCCCCAAGGCAGCGCTAAGGATGTCCAACTGATGGACATCCCCCAAGGGCTCCCAGACTGCGAGAGGCCACAGGCCTGGCTGAGGGACCCCCCCACCAGTGCACGAATTTTGTGCATCGGGCCTCTAGTTATCTTAATAACATAGAAACAGTGAAAGTGAAAGTTTGAAAAACAATGGATGGCAAACCTCAGGTGAATCTGAACCAAGAATACAAATCCTCATTCAGAAACATTCAAATATTTGGATTCAGCTTTTTACGAAGATGGCTCCGAAAGCTAAGAAGGAAGCCCCTGCCCCTTCCAAAGCAGAAGCCAAAGCAACAGCTTCGAAGGCAAAGAAAGTGCAGAAAGGTGACCACAGCCACAAAGAAAAGACCCACACATCACCCACCTTCGATGGCCAAAGACACTGAGGCTCTGAAGGCCGCCTGAATATCCTCAGAAGAGCGCCCCCAGGAGAAACAAGCTTGCCTGCTGTGCCCCCATCAAATCCCCCCGACCACCACGTCAGCCACGGAGAAGCTCGAAGACAGCAATACGCTGTGTTCACTGGATGTCAAAGCCAACAGGCACCAGGTCGGACAGGCCGTGAAGAAGCTCTATGACATTGATGCGGCCAAGGTCAGCACCCTGGTCAGGCCTGATGGCGAGAAGAAGGCCTGTGTTCGACCGGCTCCTGATGCTGCTGCTTCGGATGTTGCCAACACAATTGGATCATTTAACCTGAGTCCAGCTGCCTAATGCTAAACAGAAAAATTTTACAATGAAAAAATTTTTTTGGATTCCGATGTGTCTCAAAAAGTGGTATTTTTTCCATGTCGGTAGAAATGGAAAGAAGAGCCAGATATTTGGCCGAATCTTAGTTCAGCATTGGCAGAAAGGGGTATCTGAACATCTGAAACCGAAGGATGGGCCCAAAATGCCAACCAGCGGACGTAACTTCTTCCCCAGGAAGATTTGGTTCCTCGATGGTCACCAGCCCCCTGACCTTCACCTCTCACGTCCACATGTGCTAGACAGGGGTGGAAGGTCAAAGGGACAGACAGACCAGGACAAGCTGGAGTCTTGTCTTTCTCACGTGAGATGCTTC